AATTCCATTTTTGCTTCCGTTGTCCGACATCGCAGTTTGTCACATGGAACTCCATTCTCAAATATTTTCAAATTTCTTTTGTTACCTAACTATTTTTATGAAGACATTTCATAATTAAATGCTTATCTATCTACAAAATGTTCTACCACTAAATTACAGATTACAAAATGTGTAACACAATCGAAAATTTTGTTAATTTTATGATAAAAATATAATATTTATTTTTCGTTATCAATTCTTCTGAATAATAATACATTTACGAATTAAATATGCCTTTTTAAAATGAAAAGGAAAAATCAACCTTAAATTATTTATCAAGACGAAACGTATACTCACAAAATAGCATCTAACTTTTTTACTAATCCCACATTTATGGTTTTGTTATTAACTCCATGATTACTCGCGAGGTCAAAGATGGCCTCGAGAGTAATCATGGATGAATTAATAGGTGCTTTTCTCGTTAGCCATAAACCTTTAGCATCAGCGGTGTAATAGGCATACATGTTGCTTTTGCTACTAATCAGATGCCCAGATTATGAATAGCCTTGCCAACAATCGTGAAGTCTAGTAGGTAATTGTTAATAGATCAGCCAGTTGTTAGTCTTCAGCATCAGTAGTGATAGTACAAACCTTCGCTTCTCCATTCCAAACATAATCCAGAATAATTCCACAAGAATGAAATCGGTAGGTATCGTATTCGTGTTTCGTTCCACTCATTCTTAAAAGAACTTTTATTTTAACACTTTATTACTTTTTCAAAGCATATTTAACATTTTAATTTAATATTTACATTTTTACATTTTGTCTTAATCACCCCAATTATCGTTAAACGCACGAACCAAGTGTTGAATTAAATTTATGAATTCATTCTACTACCTGAAGTGTTCCAGCCTTATTTATTTACATCGATTCTGCAACGAATAATGCACTCCAATTAGACAGTTTTCTAGGTATGTCTTCGCAAAAGCAATACATTTCTATGAGAATTTATTGAATACTCAACAAATCTGATCAGTTAATTTAACCTTTTAGATAAATTTAAATTTATTGATTAAATATATATATTTAAGCAGCATTTCAAGAACAGAACAGATTGGTATTTTGTTTCTTCGGTTTCATATTTAAAACTAATATCATCATTTTCGTTTTGATTGTGTTTCTTTGCCCATATTTGAGTAATTATTACTTAAATGTTGATAAAGAGATGATTGATTATAGAAAATGGGCTAAACATCCATAAATATAAAACTTTCTGTGTATGATTTGTTTCGTAAAATTTATAAAAATGTGTATTCAATAAATCATTCAAATCTTTCTTTGTTTCAAACAAATATACTGATATTGCGCATATTTAGCTCAAAGGAACAGTTTGCCCAGAAGGGCTATTAATTTCGTTTTGGTATTTTGCATAGTTCACTATAAAACGGAGTTTCAATTTTCAATTGATTCCACCAAATATTAGAACCCTGCATTATATTCAAAGAAATTAAATAATGAAGAATCTGCAAGAGTGTATGTATGTTTCTCGCATTGTGAGAAAACAGAGTTACTTAGAGACATCAGATTTTGAATAGCTTAGTCCTTCATTCGAATATGGCATCTAGAAGACCAAATTCGGAATTCGGAAGTTTCATATTTTGTAAAACTTTAATGAACTTTTATTAACAAACTTAACGATATTAAAGCGAGAAATGGCAACACTGTACAAAAAAGAACATATTTATGGATTCAACATTACATTATGGCTTTACATTCAACATTATATTATGGCATCTAGAAGCCCTAATTTGGACTCCGAAATTTGTTTCATTACTTATTTCATATTTTGTAAACCTTTAATTAATTTTTGATCAACGATTTCAAAACGCAAAATGACAACACTGTAAGAAAAACAAAACTATTTTTTATCTACAATGCGCGAGACTGTGTATCAGAAATTCTAAAAATATGCTATTTTAAATATTTTGTGATATTGCTGTTGAACTGAATTTTATGGTTTAAGTGCGGAGAACATGATATTTAATTTATAAAGGTAACAAACAAAACGTTAGAAAAACGCTTTTTTGGGAGTAATATAAAATCTGAAAGCTTTTAGAGTTTTTAATTATTTTTATTTTTATTTATTTTTCTTTGCTCCAGAGCTTAAAAGTCTTTCGTAATTTCTTTAATCTGACTTTCTGTTAACTAATTCACGTAACTGAATAATAAAGCATTCTTCTATGTAAAAGTTTAGAAATATTTGCAAATTAGATAAAAATTTATAAATTTTACTGTGAATGTTAGTTAGTTCTCAGCTTATTCTGTATTTCAGCAATAATCTATGAAACGGAATTCAGGTATTTCTCCATATGAAAAAAGGTTATTACGGTTATGTAGTTAACTTTATGATCTAGACTAGCATTAAGCCTTTTAAATTTTTTTCTTTTTCAGAATTTCTGTCTTCATGTACATAATACTGTCAACTAACTAAAAACAGAGTTAAAGAAATACTTCGGAATAACGTAAAATGCAACATTTTCCACAAGAGCTCATTATTCAAAAAGAAAATCCGTGTTGATAAACATTGTGGCTACATACTTATGTATGAATTCTTATTCCAGTAAAGTTCCATTATTCAACAAAATAAGACGGGCATCAGCCAGAGGAGTACTCATTGTATCTAATGTGTTTTCAACATCAAAAGTTTTCTCACTACTTCTTTGGATACAAATACAGCAGACACTTGAACAACAAATCTGGCGACTTCACTAATCTTCACAATCCTTGACTCAAAAGTTAAATCCCCTTAGCACCCTTTCTTACTCTCAGCATGACTTTCTTTTGCCTGTCATCGGGTCGTTTTTTTTCTTTACCATCTTCGCATCAACACCACCCATATTTCTTCCCCTTCCATTTCTCCTTTTCTGCCATTAAAAATAACTTAACTTCTTCCATTTGCATTATTTCTGAGGCATCTGCATGGGCTACATAAAAGAGGTCATCAGGAATATCTACATAAATGCTTTCTTCCAAATTCAGCATATTAGCTCTTCAGCTTTTCTTCTTATCAGCTATCCAGTGACTTAAAAGTCTGAAAGCTGAAATTTATTTTATTAGTGTTATTATTATTATATTTTCGTTTTTCGAAATATTTGGGTCTTTCTTAACAGTAATTGTATTGATTTAAATTGATCATTTTTAACACGCCAGCAGCAAATCATCTGCCCAAATTTCCTCAAGTTAATGAAAACGATTTATCATTTTTTATATATGAACATTAAAAACTATTTTTTCCAGATACAGAGTGAAAAGCACTTAATAATAATTATGTTAACAGATACTTCACAACCTCTGAAAATTTCAGGAAAACTATCAGTTATTGTATAATTCAATAGTGTCTAATATGTTATGTTAAAGCTTTAGAACATTTTAATAAACTACACAGACAAAATGTTACAGTTAAATTGGCTGATGCTGTTATGAGCAGAACTACTTTACCAGTATTATTTCGTTAGGGAGCTACGCAATATTATTATCACTTTTAAATGCGTGATTCCATACTGTTCTAAGACTATAGTAACTTTACTTTACTCCAGCTGCAGAGTAGCTGATCCACTTGCAGATGGTGCTTATCAGCCTGTTTAAGCTCTGCCAGTGATTCTAATTTTGTTTGCTGATATATCACTATCTTAACAAAACATGAATATTACGCATTTTTTTCTGAAAACTGATAGATTTTACCTTACTTTCTAACAGTGGATTGCATGGAATGTCTGTTATTTTGGCCAAGTTCAACATGATTACTTACCAGTACCTTTTATAATGTGATTCATGAATGCATTCCTTTCTATCACAGGTAGCTCTTGAGTAATTTGCTTTCATAAGTAAAGTAAATTAACCTCAATTTCTTCAGAGAGGAAAAAGGCTAACTCAAGCGTATGTGCCTTAGTCACGATATCAGTGTGAATTAACAATACACAAAGACTTTCATGGTCATGACTTTGCTCTTCGTAGATAGGATATTTTAATAACTATTGCCAAGAGCTATTAATAACTATTGCGCGCTGTGACTCAAACTGCAAGAAGGTACATAATAGAAAAGCAGTTTATCAATGAGGTGTGAAATGCCTTTATTAAGCAATTTTTGATAGGAAACTGATATGTATTTTTCTTGCACTTGATAAAAATCGTAAAACCCAACACAGACGTTTAGTTCAGTCGTTACACTGGTAACTCAATACGGGCAGATCACTAAGATTATCGGCTCTAACCACTGTCTGACGTTGATGGGCAGCTTAGTCTTAAAGACAGCTGTCTTAACCATGCAGCAATCCAAAAAACATACTATGAATGTGCTTAATTGTAAATAAATAAAACATTTTAATTGATATTTATCTGAAGTCATTTTCTGTCTTACCAACGAAAACGGAAGTAGCTTTTCTACACACATACAAGTACACGCGTGTCTCATTTAGCATAAAATGTTGTCAATTCCATGGCAGAGACGAATTTTCGTACATACCGGCTTCAGAAAAACCAATCTTAAGGCTTAATGTTTCAGCGCAATAATTTCTCTCTCATATAAATACTACTGCTTATAGTGTCGTGCTTCACTTATCCGAAAACAGGGAGAAATAGTTTAGAGTAGTTTATCTCTTTGTATCTAGTAAGATTATTGATTGAGTAAACAACGCAAAGAAATTCCTGTGGAATATGGTGGCTAGTTCCGAGTTGCTGAACGTATATTCCTGAATGTGAATTTATAAGATATTAGACAATATCTTTAGAATTACTGAAATACTTTAAATTCAACTGAAATTATAATTTTCACCAGTGTACCCATAATCTAAACTATTCTTTATGAAATGAAAAATATTTCTTTGGATTTTACATTTATACAATAAATTTTAATTAAGTGCATGATTGCGTATCTCAAAGAATTTTAAAATCAAGACAAGTAAGAATACAATGAAGTAGAAACTGTACGCGTTTAAATGAAAAATGAAAAATTAAATTTTAAATAAATTCCTAAAACATTTTTAATAAGCTAATTCTTTAAGCTTAAAATTAAGCACTTTAGTAATACATTATTCTCTTTTAAACATTTCTCTCATTCTTCCAATAGCTGAAAATATTTCTCTGATGAAATTCACTTTTATTTCACAACATACAGTTTTATTCATTCGCATTGAGGCTCCGAGTTTTTTCTTTTCCCGTCTGTCAGCTTCTGTCGTGTCCCACCTTAGTTCTGAAAAATGATCAAACATTGGATTTAAGAAAAATCTTTTACAAAGAATACTTTTGACATTGCTCATTCATAGGCAAACTTACAGCAAATTCTGAAAACCATTAAATGTTTTTATATGTACTTAGCTTTATAATACATTTAAAGGCTTAAATTTTATACAAAAAAATTCTTTTGTATTTACTGAGAACCTGAAATTTTTAATTTTATGACACATGCCTTATTCCAACTTCGTAGTTCCTCATTCTGAATTCAGCATGGGAAATATGGTAACTGGAATTTAATGAAAACAAAAGCAGTGACAGATTGAAATATTTAGTTAAACAGTATGCAAATGGAGTTACATCCTAATAAAGGATGTTTTCTTAGAGGAATTTATAAGGAAAATTAAATTATATTTACATATTACAGAAAAATTCTATGCAATGACTCGATCAACAAGAGTAGAACTCGGAATGAACTGCAAGACCAACTCAGCTTCTTCCTTTCATGGATCGGACTGGCATATTTGGTGGCAACAGTTTGAAAAGTGAACCGACATTTAAAGTTTTCAACGCAAAATGCCAAAACGAGATTAATAACCCTTTCGGGCTGATGCACTTTGAGAAAAAATCTGATGTGTACACCACATGACTTCCTTGTAAGGAATATTAAAGTATACGCATCTTTTCTTGCATTTTGTTTAAACTTATAGGAATGAATTAAACCTACTTCGCCGACAGCGCATAAACCACAATAGAATAAATGTATTCTTTAAAATTCACTCTATTACCATAGCGACACTCTGCCGCTAAGTTCACTTAACAGTATTATATTTCGTTCATATTATAACTCAGAATGCACAAAATTTATATCATTTAAAGAATTATCTAATCGTTGCCACATGTTCTATTCAAATACTATAATAAAGCTAGAACGATGTATAAAAGAAATTAAGCAAACAAAACAAAAAAGAAACAGTTTTTTCACAGACAATTTAGTTAGTATTTCTCATTCAATTAATTCAGTTCTCACTTCGCGACAAGGCAAAAATACATAAAAACTCAAAATATCTGTATTAAAAATTACGAAGTAAATCTTAAGCACTTATTTCCTCGAAAAAATTCCAGAAAGGATTAAGCATGATTTAATTCGCAATAATAAATGAAGGCGTTATCTTTGTTGTTGCGAAGCTACGTTTCTCTAGATTGGCAACAAATCCACTACTCTGTTGTTTCAAATGTAAACAAGCAATGGCCGCCATCAAAAACATTATTAGGCTTAGCGACACTTAAACAACTTTAAAATTGTTGATAATTCTAAAAATACTGCATACAGATTTACCAAAGGCATAAAAACCTTAACCGGAAGATAAGAACAATATAATTCAATCATTTGTAAAGCAAAAAATGTACAATTTACAAACATATAAGAGTAAAGAAACTGAGATCACTGAGCTGGGTAACAGAGTGGATATATATATAAATATATTTATATACGTTTGGTGTGGCCGATTGCAACCAAAATACGAGGTGCACATCTACATGTTATAGTAGTACTATATGCAAAGTTTCAAAGTTCTGAGGCTATTCGTTTTTGAGTTATGCGAGATACGTACGTTCGTTCACATGCATACGTTCGTACAGACACCACGAAAAATTCTCTTCAGAATTCATTTTAAAGCGGTTTTAATTTTTTTGGAGAAAAAGAGTCTTTTCTTCTGTCCTTACGTACAGATATCACGCAAATACATCGTTAAATTGCATTCGAAAGTGGTCATATTGGATATTTTCATTGAAATATGCTGTGTGAAACTTTTCGCGATTGCAATTCTTCCTTTTTTACTTCGTACAAGGAATTAAAAAGAAAATGGGAACAACAGTTCTGTATGTCCCGTTCTACTGGGCCGATTGACGAAATTTAACTTGCGTTTTTCATGTCTCGAATCCCCGATTTAGTACATGTATTAGACTTAGGATATGTATAGCATTGTTCTAATATAGTTATTTTGACACTGGATTTGAAAGAATTTTTGTCATTTTTGCTCGGAATCGGACTTTTCTGAAATGGCATGCCATATTCCATTCCATATTTATATTTTTTCCATATTTCGATTCTACGACTCAAATTATGACAAACTGCTAAGTTTGTAAAAATTGCAAGAATAGTTTTTAACAAATCAGCTTACAAAATTTTAGCTAATCGATGTTAATCGAACTTTATATATATTTATTAATATGGCTTATTTATTAAACATACTTGTTACTTGACATTTTTTCTCTCAGTGTATTTACTGTTTCTAGTGTTCTAAAGTTAAGTAAACAGCTTTACAACTTAAAAAACGTTGAAAAACATAACGTTCACCAGCTTTTGCAGAGGCATGTGTCTCAGCGTAGAAAACCCTCTATGAAAACTATTTAGCAGGAGATTAATTAAATTACAATTAATTTAATTAATTGATTTTGAATCTTAATAAAACATGAGTTTACCTAAATGGCTGTAATAAAAAATGCTCTATTTATTACCGAAAACGAAAAGAAAAATATATGAATCGGAACCCGTCAGGGCAAAGAATATTTCAGTAAAGGGTTTTTGATTAACGTAGGATTCTCTTACAATGTGAAATTTAAAATTAGAAAAGTGGTAAAAGAGGCTAAACCATACATACTATCAAGAGAAAGTTTTACGTTCGATATTTGCAGAAGAAATTTCATTTATTTATGCAAAGACTTTCAAAGAGCAATAGACAGAACAACAAGTCAACTAGAAAGGTATCACTGCATTCTCTGAAAAAAATTAAGACGGATACAGATATTGCATATATAGGGCGTCTCGAAACTCGTCACTGCCAAACTTAACATGCTGGTCTGTCACACCATGACAAACAAGATTTTGACAGGAATTTGCGTCCGAAAATGCGAACGGTATGTTAAGTTTGGCAACGACCTTTTGAGACACTCTGTACACCTTTTCAACGTTTCCCTGCAAAATACCCTATTGTTTCACCTACAGACTATTGCGCCTTTGGTCTCACGAAAGGAGCTCTTTCTATACGCAAACCCACCACGATTGATGGACTCTGGAAAATAACTGAAAAGAAATGGAAGTCAGTACCCCTAGAAATTAAAAAAAAAAAAAAAAAAAAAAAAAAAAAAAAAAAAAAAAACCTTTTAACCATAAAAATCACATTGGAGACCTATTGCAGACATAAATTAAAAAATGTACTGTTTTGAACATTAATTAAATGGACCTGAAATCATTCTTCTATCTTACTATATTAAAACTCACCATTATACATTTTTACATTTCCATAAATAAACACATACAAAAAAGGTACCTGCCTACAATCTGGTGATGTCATGATGAATATGATTAATATATACAAGAGCATTTTAAGTTTTTTACAAACAACTCTTCTCGTTTATGCGTTTAAAGGAATCTCATTTTTTTAAATATCATCTAAAGTCTCGATGTGTACGTGAACGAGATCTACTTTAATACAACCATCGTAACTTTGCTATTTCTCTCAAAATTTCTTCCAGTGAATACAGATAATATAAAATATATCCTATTCAATATTGGAATTTTAAAAAATGCAAATATCTTCACATTATTGCTGTTCAGTTCATAATCAATCCAATGCAACAGAATTCCCTAAAATTTAAATAAATGAGAGATTCATTTGGTAATAAAATTTACTTTAATGGACACATTTACTAACGAAGAGCTCTTTAGGTACACTGCGTAAAAAATAATGAAATAAAAAAATATTAAAAAAAATTTGACAGTTCTATGTCTCCCGTTCTGCTGGGCCGATTGATGGAAATTCAACTTACGTTTTTCATGTCTCGAAAGCACGACTTAAGATATGTATTAGATTTATATATAGCGCTGTTTTAATATAGGTATTTTGACTCGGACTTTTCTCCATGTTTCGATTCTATTTCAATTACAGTATTTAACTCCAGTTAAAGTACTGTTTAAGACAGCGTACATAATTTAAAAATACTCCCAATGCTTCATGCCAGCAACAATCTTTAAAATTTCTAGTTTTATCTCTTTTTCTTACTCAGCAAAGTTGCAATGAATAAAATATTCACAATGCTTAAATCAGAATGCATATCTAGCGAATAGTAAATCAGAAATAAACATTTTCATAAAAAATTAAGGGCCATGTTTAATAACAAAGGCTTTTTTTAACAAAATAAGGACACTTTAGCATTTAATAATAAGTGCTATTTTACATGAGATGAAACTTTCTGGGACAATTGTCGAAATTTTTTTCTCACAAATCTTGAAATTATAGAAGTTCCCAATTTTGGAAAAATAATGTAGATCGGTAATTTCGTTTCAAATATCTCTGAGAATAAGATACAGAAATAGCATTTTTATAAGAATTATTCACACAAAATCTAAAATTACAAATTAACTTTGCGAAGTAAGAGCACTCTAGTTTTTCTTTCAATTTATAGAACTAAGAATTGAAAATAATGTCCATATTTTGTAAAATTTTAGTAAAGCAGTTCTCAAATAGATTGAGTTTTTTTTCACGTATAATATTCAGAACCATCTACGCAAAGTTTTTGTAAAATATTTGAAAACCTAATGACAAATTCGGCAGAGCGTAGAGTAGAATCAGTTATAACTAATTGCAGGATCAATCTGTTTCTGTATGTGTATGCCATCACAGTGGCATACACATACAGAAACAAAATACGTTTGACGATTACTCTTAATGTAGCCTTATCTCCAAAATTTGCCATGTGAACACAATTTCCACATGATAGGTAACAGCATGATAGGAAACAAGCATGATAGGAAACAAGCATGATAGAGAACAGCGTAAAAGATTAGAATGAAGTGGGTAGAACAAAAACTATCAGACATATTGGTTTCTGAACAACAAAAAATGGCAGCATAAAAAAATAATAGAAGTTTATAAAAAATAATAATGAACAAAAAAAATTACCAGTAAAAGAAGTATTTAATTACAGATATATAACACAAATGGATCGCATGTTCTT